GTTCAGCAGAGTTTGCTCTGCTACTGTGTGTGAGATGACAGGAGTTCTCACGATGTTCCTTTGTTTCAGAGAGGTTTGATCACCACTGCCCCTGGGTGGGCAACTGTGTGGGGAAGCGCAACTATCGCTACTTCTATGCCTTCATCCTCTCCCTCTCCTTCCTGACAGCCTTCATTTTTGCCTGTGTTGTCACCCACCTCACTCTGCGTAAGTACTGCGGTTACTAGTAGCAATGAGCACTGCGCTCCTGGAGAGGAGTGACTTGTGACTCCATGCTGCAGCAGGGCCTCTGTTCTTAGTGGACAGAGTGGGGGAAGGGTCTGGCCTTTGCTGGTTTAATATGAGGCTCTTCACTGCAGGGCTGCCTGCGTAAACTGGGTCTCAGACTGCAGGGAACCACAGATCCACCCTGCACCTCACTACAGGGAAATTATAACACTTAGTGACTAGGTTATTCTCTTCAGAGCAGATGACTTACATGTGATGCTAGGGCAGCAGCGGGCTGAAGGGCTTTGGGTGCATCTACTCTGGATCTCGCAGGGAAAGTGACTTGCCTGTCAGCCCTGAACCTCTTGGAGCCGTGTCTGCTCACTGACATTTCTGCAAAGTTACAGACTGAATATATGTCATGGGCAGCCAGGCAGATCTGTCTGGCCTGCGGGGGAGGGCGGTTGTGTACTCAGGAGTGAAGCAGATTGGCTGGAGATGCAAGGCTGCCTGATGGAACGTAGTTCCTTGTCCCGTTTTGCTTTGCAGGCTCTCAGAGAGATGGATTCCTCACCACTCTGAAGACAACGCCTGCGAGATATCCTTCTAATGCTATCAGTTGCTCCGACTGTTGAGCCCTGGTGCAGCAACGCTGACAGTGTCACACAGTAGTGCAATGAGCTTTTCCAAGGGGCACCTTGATGTACTTTCCAAAGCCTAATTTAGTCCCCTAGCTACCTGATTGGGGCAGGCAGGCAGGCACTTCTCCATTTGTAGACTGATAGCACCACCAAACTGGTAGGATCTTTAGATCCATGTTTAGGTCACTGCCGCAGTTGGACTATCAGTTCCCTGCTCGTTGTGGCAGCGACTAAAGTTTGGTAACAGACTTGTTTTGCAGTTTGCAAGATTATGTGGAAAGGGGAATGACTGGAGTTGGTTGTGCATTGATGAATGTCTTCAGACCAGCACAGGGAATGGGAAGGTAGCGGCCTACCTGCTGTCATCACTGAAATGCTCTCCCCTTGCTGGGAGTGGGGGGAGCCTTGGGTGGGCACGTACATGTGTTGTGTGGGCTTCTCAGCCAACCCCTCAGAAGCCAGGGTGCTTTCAAGGCCCAGTGCATGTGGTCTTCCCAAAAGAGCCCTTTGCCTCTCCTTGCAGGAAGATTTTGTTCTTTGAGGTTTCCTTAACTCCTTTTTTCACTGTGCTGGAGCTGGTGATTTGTTTTTTCTCAGTCTGGTCTATTTTGGGCCTCTCAGGTTTTCATACTTACTTAGTCGCCTCCAACTTGACAACGAATGAAGATGTAAGTACCCGGATGCTTGTCCGTTCACAGAGCCGGCTCTGAAAGGTGTAAGGGGGGCTGCCAGCCCTGTTACTTTCTAAGCAGAGGTGAAGTTTTCAGGGAGTCCCTGACTGGGTGCCTTGGTACGGTGCGCTGGGTAAAGCGTTCTGTCTGCATTGCCTATGATAATTCATAACGAAGCAAACAGCCCATGCCCAAGGCGTTGAGGCTCTAGTTCGGATAGCTGAGTGGGGAGAAAGTGATGTACAACAGCGGGGCATTGTGTTGGGAGGGCAGCACGTTTTACTTGGCCACGTCAGGCTAGGAAGTAACTAGCTGAAACGTTTGAAAGGTCGCATGTTTTTTTTTTTGGTCTATATGTGGTCTTGTTTAAAATTTGGAGTTCTGAGATTTTAAAAAAGGAAGACCGCCCCCAGAGATTTGGGTTTTAGCTTGGGACACGGGTGATCTTAATTCAGCATCCTGCCTAACCACAGATTTCCTGTGAGACCCTGGGCAAGTCCCTTTGTCTCTGTCAGTTCCTCAAGTGTAATAGGCAAATAATGTACAGACATCTTCTGACGATATTTACCTTAAAGACTGTGGTGCGTGCAGCCTTGAATGGCCAAATGAGTACCCTGAGCAAGGCAGACTGTATGGAAAAGCAGGATCTGTCTGATCCTTGGAAGGAATCAAAATTCACCCTTCTGGCCACAAGTACCTGTAATGCTTGCTGGAGGCTTCCATCACTGCAGAAGAAATGTGTGTGGCTTTTTTCCCTCCTCTCCTATTATGTTTGGAGGTATTGGCAGAGCTGTGCAAGGCCATGTAAGTGAAGCTAATGGAGGTTGCACCCTGGTACTGAGAGCACCAAAGCACCAAGTCCAGAGCATATGGCCCATTGCTTCTCTGGTTGCACTGCCCACATTGCCAGACTTAGGCTGCACCTGGGGAGAGGAAGTAAAAACAAAAAGAGGAAACGTGGTGGTTAATGGTTCGCTTCAGCCAGGGGCTTGAGGCCAGGTATAGCATCTGCCCGCTCTTGTGTGCCCGTGGTTGGCGTGACTGGGGTTTCGAAATCGAGTCCCAGTGACAGCTGCTCAGGGTGTGGGCAGATGACATTGTTTCCTTGTGTTAGCAGAATGGCCTGGGAATCCCCTTGCTGTTTGTTTAGCCTGAGGAGCATGCAAGGTACCATTAGCTAGGAGCCCTGCTCCAGTGAGCTTTCAGCCTGGTAGAAGATGAGGGAAGAAGAGGCTGGAGTTGAAGGCAATGATGCTGACAAGCTGCCATGAAACACGAGGAGGGCACAGCTTTGGAACTTTGTAGCTGCAAGGTTGAACCTTGGCAAAGGCAGGAGAGCATATTGCTGTCTCCTCTGGCTGCCTTTCTGCAGTTGTCCTGCTTGTTAAAGCGAAGGAGGATATTTTTAGTAGGACAGAAGCTTTTTGCCTCCTGAGCAAGGATTTGAACTGACTCTATTATCATGTAGATCTCTTATCTCTTATCATGTCTTTCCCATCTTAATCTGCACGCATCCTTTCCCTTTCAGATCAAAGGGTCCTGGTCAAATAAGAGGGGCTCAGAGTTTGCTAATCCTTACAGCCATAAAAGTATCCTCACAAACTGCTGTGCAGTGCTGTGTGGACCATTCCATCCCAGGTAAGAGCTTTTGACCTCCACTGCGTTGGGAAGTGCATCCTGCTCTGTGAGAGGGACCCCAGAAAGCACGGGTTTATTATGATTCACAAGAGATTGTGTCGGGCAAACACATGTACTCCTGTGATGATGAACATCCCCCATCCATGAAGATGGGAAACAGTTTCCCAGACTCTGCAGAGAAAGGCTGGAGAAATGTAAAAGATTTAAGATTTGTTGCTGCTTCTGTGTGTGAACTTGCTGAGTTTGGGTCAGTTGTAATTGTTTCGTGGAACTTGCAGCTTAAGCATCCTGTGGTTTAATAAGGGGACAGTAACAGCACCAAAGGGCTTGCTGGCAAATGGTAGACGTCAGTTGTGGCAGTACTTCCTAGCGCATGTTTTTCCTCCTGTACTGCAAGGAGCAAGCGTCAGACTAACTCTTGGCGAGCAATCAGCAGGGATCTGCGCCAGGCAGTGTGGAGACCCTGATCTTTAAGCAACACTCAGATGGCCTGAAATGCTTAATAGCATCCTACCAAATTTGCTTACCTGTGAGCTAACCAGAACAACGATGAAAAGAGAGGCAAAGGCAGGCAGTTCGCTCCAAGTGTAATGAAATAAAGCTTTGGACCTGGAGCATGGGCACCTTCAAGCATGGGCACCTTCAAGCTGCTTTTCCTTCAGGCCCATGAGCAGCATAGAATTATCACTGCTTTGTCACAAGAGGGTGCAATTGGGCGGTTAGACTGGAGTCGTCTTGCACTTGGCTGCTGGGTTTGAGGACCTGCATGCTGACTTGGAGCTCTCGGTCTGTCTTAGGGCATGCAGGTCTCCTTGAGACAGTATTTTGTTTGCCGAGATCCGATCTGGATTTATATAGAGCATCCCAGAGGTGCTAACTCAGTGTAATGTAACAGCAGGGGAAGGCGTCTGAGTTTCAAGTAGGGCCACATAGCTAAAGTCAGTGTTCTCTGTTCGTGTCCTGTCCTACTCTCTGAAGTACTCCAAGCTCTTGGTTGGTCTAGAGGTGCTGAAATGCTACTGCTGCTATTTGGTAATGGTAAGTCTGCAGATTGAGGGAGCTAAGCTGTGTGCTGGGAGGGTAGCATTTTACTCCAAATCGTTTCTCGTTTATGTTGTTTTCCTGTTGTAAAGTCCTATCACCAGTTCCCATTTGGGTTTGTGGTGACCCAAAGCTTTTACTGACTAAAGACTGTTTGGTGGCTTGTGTGATGTTTGTGGCTTGCCTAATGGACAGGAAGCTGTGTTGTCCAAACCGCTCCTGCTGATGCTTTGGTTAGCAGCTCCCGCAGGGAGACCCATCTCTGAACAGCTGTGGCATGTGAGCTCCCAGCCTTGTGATGGGGGTGTCTGGATGTCAGGAGGGTTCTGATACTGTGGATAGAGTTGACTTAGCTGCCCAGGCCAGCTGAGGCAGCAGCTTCTCAGCATGTTTGCTCGACACCAAAGGGATCAAGGCCTTCTGCTTTAAAACTCAGTGCTAGGAGGGAGGCACGCAGCCGTTCTTAGAAAAGCATGGGGTGAGGGGCACTTGCTTGGGGTGGCTGAGCAGACCGAGATACTGTACTGAGTGCAGTCTGTTTTCTGCTCCTTCACTTGGCTGTGCTCATGAGACTGGAGGAAGGGAATTTTCACTACCAGACTTACTCCTTCCCTTTGTCCAAGCTTTAAATCCCCTGTTCTGTGCCAGGTATCTCTTTCTGCAGAAACCGATTGATTTACTGTGTAGCTTCTAGTCTTCATTTCCGGAGAGTTGTAACTTCTCTCCCCTTGCATCCTTTCCCTTTTGTTTTCCAGTTTGATAGACAGAAGAGGATTTATCCAGCCGGATGTTGGGACCCCGTCCAGTCCTAAGAGTGAAATCCCTTCCTTTGGAGCCAAAACTGACACCAGCATGGTAGGAGGCATTCCCTAGTGGTGCTGTGACGTAGCCCAGTGCCTGTTGTGCCTGCACCTAACTCCAGCCAGTACATTCCCCTATTATCATCTCCCTGGCCTCAGGCAGGACAGCCCTGTGATGCAGAGCTGCCAAAGACTCGGTCGAGCCATACGTTGCCTTTTTTTTATTTATTATTTTTGTTTATTTGTCTCACCGTGATGTGGCCTGCCTGGACTTTCGACTGATAGAGCATAACAGCATGCGAGACCCTCAGACTCCAGCAGAAAGCAGGGGGTCCTCACTGCACCTGGGAAGCAAATAGGTCTGGAGAGCCACTAGACCTCTGAGCCTGAAGGGTCTGCTCCAGAGAGTTGCTGTGTTTGCTGCAAGGAATAATGAGGTGGGCCAAGGGTGGGAGGTGGGGACAGGTAAACGGTTCATGCTCTGAGTTATACTGTCAAGTCTCATCTTTCGGGCTGATGACGGAGGAAGTTCGTTGGTATTCCTGATATTTCCACGAATGCCACCTCCTGCTCTGTGCCAGGGTGGAGGGGTTCTGTGTCTTAATGGCTGGGTTCTCAGCCTGCTGTGGGAGCAGCTTTTTTTTTTTTTTTTTTCTGGAAGCTGCTGTGCCTTGGTAAGTTGTGGCTGTTTTCCAGAGAGGGCTCTCTGGCTCCCAGCAGATGCAGAAGCTGGCTAGATGTCCCAGCTGCTGGTTGAGTCTGACTTTTGGCTGGTCACTGAGGGAGTGCTGAAGAGCTCTGAGTGTTTGGGCTCTTTCAGCCATTAAGAGCATGTTTTGCAGCAAGGACACAAGTTAGGAAGAACCTCGTCTCCGTGAGGAAAAGGAAAAGCACACAGTGTTCTGCAGCTCTCATGGTGAGATGCTGCTTGGAAAGGGACAGTTGTAGGATTTGACCTCGGCTTGCCAGGAAAACCTGGCTGGGTCCTGTCTGTAGGACACTTAAAGGCAATAGAAGAGTAGGTGAATTCCTGAGGGTCACATCCTAGCTGGAGTAACACAGAGGAAGCAGTGAGTGGGTGCTGGTCTCTGATAACCTCATGTTGTGCTCTTGTTTTGGGTTTCCGGCCAGCGGCCTAGAGCAAGACTGTCAACAGGGCCTCAGGAACGATTCCTATGTGTGTCTCAGCGTGTCGTGAGCAGCCTTCTGTGGCTGCAGAGGCAGCTGGGAGAGCTGGGCCGAGCAGCCAGCTCTGCAGGTTACTAACACTGGAGTGTGCGTAGAGGAGAGTCACAGACCTTGTTAGCAATACTTGAATCGCGTTATTAAAAGCTGCTGGATGTTTTTGCACAATTTCTAGATTTTTTTTCTATGTAGAACGTTTTATATTTGGTGTAGATAGTGCTGTGCGTGTTAGCACCAGGGCAGAGACTTGCAGCGTTTTGTGTCAAGCTACTTGGTTAGGTTTCTGTGGGTCAGACACATATATTTCAACCTCAGGCAGAGTCAGCACGTGCGTGGGGCAGCCTGTCGCCGCTGAATTAGCCGGCGTTGTGCTTTACACACTGTGAATGACTGAGCCAGCCCACGTGCAGGAGGGAGCTGCCCCTGCTAGCGCAGGCGGAGGGGAGCGAGGCTGTCAGTGCTGCTTCGGGGTGTGCAGGGGGACCGCAGAGCGGCAGCCTCGTGCAGTGCGGCCGCTGCTTGGCTCTCAGAGTTCCCTCCCAGCCTCCCAAGACTCTGGCACTCTTTGCAACCCGGTTCGGTTGTCAGTTATGGGATGCTACAGACACCCCCAATCCTACTATCAAAAGAGCCCCTTTGCCTTTTTCCCCTACCTCTCTGGGGATGGGATGTGGAAAAGCAAGTTCCTGGGCTGTTTTTTCTTTGAGTGGATTACCATTTTGCTTCTTGGACCTTGGAAAGGTGCCCTTTGCCTTATGTTTCTGGCTTGCTGCATGGAGATCTTGGTGCTTGTTTGCTGTGACCACTAGCTCTACCTTCCCCTCTGTGAAGAGCCAGAGCTGCAGCTTGACAGCTCCCTGTTGCTGTGAGAGGGTAGGGCGGCTCCAGCGTGATATGCTGACATCTGCCTCGTTTACTCCTGGTGACCAGTCCAAAGTCCAACGGTTTCCACCAGCAGTTGGTTAGCTGCGTGCTGCAAGCCTGCACTCTCCGTGCAGGTACCTCAGGGTGGTGTTGCTGCCCTGGAGCCTGTCTGGCCTGCCTCTTGCCAGGAAGTTGAGGTGAGCGTGTGGCCGCGGCTGAACTTCTACCGGATCCCAGCAGATGGCCCTCGCTGCCTGGGGCTGAGCACTCGGGGAAGCTCCCAGTGCCGCTCTGCCAGCTTGACCCAGCAAGCCCCAGCCCCCGAGCCTTGTGCCATCTCCTGCCCCAGTTCACCAGCCAGGCCACCTTAGTGTGACAGCATAAAAGCCAGTGTTGCTTCTGGAGAGGAAGTGAGCTGGCTGCCGTGCCGTAATCTCCCTGCTTCTCTTGCACTGATGTTCCCAATGTCCCTGTCGTCAAAGAGCCTCGACACTACCTTCTGGCGGCGGGCTTGGGGACAGGGCAGGAAAGCCAAGCTGTGCGGAGAGGGGCTGGTGCTCAGGGAGTGAGGAACGGAGATTACCTGAGGCTGGGGAGAGCAATGTGTGGGGGTGCTATTGGGGGCCAAACGCCTTCCTGCTTTTATTTAAACTGGTTTCTTTTGTTACTCGCATAATAAAATTATATTTTTAAAGAGTTAATTGCTTGCATTTTTTGGTTTTTTTTTGTTCGAGATGGAAGAGGGCAGGTGTCTTTGTTGTCAACATCTCTCTGTCAGGTGGAAGTTGGATTGTTTGTTAGTCACAGACCTCTCCTGGAAGCTCTTAGAACTTCCCACAGGATGGGGCCACAAGGTACACTTAGCACCAGAGCCCAGCAGCAATTTGTGGAGCCGTGGCTCTTGCTAGAGCCAAGAGGCTTTTTTTTCCGGACTCATGTCTCCAGGCTGGGCAGGGTTTCATCCTGCAGCTGCTGGAGTTGACACAGTTCTGATTACACCTTCCTGCAGAGTGTCCTTTTCTCACCCCTGGACCAAGCGAGTGTGAGAGATGGGTGTGCCAGGATCAGAGGTGTCCCTGTCTAACCCAGCTCACACTGTACTGGCAGATGTTGAGGTGCATAATCTCTGGTGTCTTCCTCAGGAGGATGCCTGCCAGGACTTTGCCATTTCCTGCACAGCCTGATGGGATATACCCCCTCCTTGGATGTTAGCCCTGCTTTCTGAGGGTTAGCTGGTAAGAAAGCGCTTTCTTCTCCTCCCCCAGTCATCCACTCCAGTGACCCATCTCATCTCCACTGCATGACCAGCTCTGTCCACGGAGCCCATCACCCACCGGTTGTGTAGACATCTGTGTGTGCCGACACTCCCACCGTCGCGGGGGACGGCGAGCCCTGCTCGCTGTCTCGGTGCAGGGCTGTGTGCTAGGAGGGTTGCCCGCAGCCTTGGAGAGAAGAAAGGGAAGGTTTCTCCCAGCCTTGCGCTGGGGCCTGGCAGGAGAAGGAGCCGACTGGCTCGTGTGCGTTCAGGTGGTGTGCATGGCGGTGTTTGGAGAACGATGCGGCTGCAGGTCAGCCTGGAGGAAGCCACGGGGCTCAGGGCAGCGGGTCTGTTGGAGAGGCAGGTGCTTGCTGGCTGGACTGCAGCGGTGGTTTGTACTCGGTAGAGCAGTGGTGCTGCTGGGGTTGCAGGGAGCCCCCAACTGATGCAGAGATTTGGTGTTTACAGCGAGCTGTGGCCTGAACTGAGGACTGGGAGCCTGGAACAGATTTCTAATCCCAGCTCTGCCACTGATGCACTTTGTGGTTCAGTCAGTCCCTCCCCTCCTTTCCCCGCGCCTCAGTTTTGCTCTCTGTACCCCAAGGTTCGTCCTGCGACGTGCCCGCAACGGAGGTAAGTTCCTTTTGAAGCACGTTGCAAATTAGCATTGCTTGAATCCTGTCCCTAGTGCCGGGGGCTGCGGAGGCCGCCCCTCACCTCCCACGCTTACATCCCTGCCTCCTCCCTCCATCCGTGCAACACATCGTGAGCTCACGTCTGCCAGAACCGGGTCGCCGGAGCCGCTCCCCACCCAGCGGAGACGGACCTTCCTCCCTGCTCCTATCTCGTCGCCGCCGTCCCCGCGTGGTCTGCAGAGCAGGCTGGGTTTCTGGACCGCGACGCCAGCCCTTGCGCGGAGCATCCCGCAGCGTCTTCTACACGGGCCTGGCCGAGGCGGCCGTCACCCGCGGGCTGTCTAGCGGTGTTTGTCCCGCTCCGCTGATGTTGTGGAAGTTGTGCTGGTGTCTTCCCCCATCACGGTGTGCTGTCTGGTGCTGTGACCCTCGTGCTCAGCGTGGTGGAGTCCTGCTGCATGATGTGTGAGCGTGTTGGGCACTAACAACTCACGTCTTGGTCTTCGGTGAAGGGTCTCACGCACCTCATCCACCCAGGCAGGGCTTAACTGTAGGGGAAACCACTGTCCAACCTCTCTACCGCTGACGGGCCCAGCACTCGTTCGATCCCACGCCGTTCTCTCCTCTAGCTAGCCTGGATGATCCTCTTTGCTCTGCTTCCTGTTACCTGCTTCTCCTTGCAGTGTTTCCGGTACTAACCCTCTCTTTCTCTTCCTCCCTTCCCTTTCCCCTGCCCCGTGGGCAAGCCAGTGTGTTCAGGGCACTAAAGAGCTCTTGCGGACTGCAGCCCTCTGCCTCTCTTGGAGCGCCCCACGGGAAGCCGAGACACCACGGACAGCCGCGA